GGGTTTAACCCTGGTCCTCGTGGGTGTTTCACAGGCACCTCAAATGGGATATGTCCTCATATGAATTCATCCTCCGTGCCCTCATGCTGTTCCTCCTCATCAGTGTCTTCTCCATGAAGACAGACGCCACCGCATCCTCAATCATCTGGCCCAGAAACCTGGCAGTTCTCTTTGATTCCTCCCTTACTTTCAACCAATATCCCATCCATTACCAAGTTCTGTCCATCTGATTTCCCAAACAACTCTCACAACCATCGTTTCCCTCCATCAGCTCTGCCCCGGTGCAATCCTCTTGAGGCCCTCCAGATGACTGCCCATGTCTCTTTGCTGTCTCCCTGAGTCTGGTCTGATCACCTCCAGTTCATTCTGTGCACAGTGATCAAAGCCATCTTCCAATCTTGTCCCTTCCAAGCTCAAGATCCTTTAACAGCTCCCATTGTCTGCAGAATAAAGTCCAGACTCCTTAGACTGACCTCCAGGACCCATCTTGAGTTGACTGATGCTTTTTTTTTTTTTTTTTTTTGAGATGGAGTCTCGCTCTGTTGCCCAGGCTGGAGTGCAGTGGCGCGATCTTGGCTCACTGCAACCTCCACCTACTGGGTTCAAGCGATTCTCCTGCCTCAGCCTCCCGAGTAGCTGGAATTACAGACACATGCCACCACGCCCGACTACTTCTTGTATTTTTAGTAGAGACAGGATTTCACCATGTTGGTCAGGCTGGTCTTGAACTCCTGACCGGATGATCCGCCTGCTTTGGCCTCCCAAAGGGCGAGATTATAGGCGTAAGCCACCGCGCCTGGCCCTGACGCTTATTTTTTAAGCCATTGTCTCTTTTCAACTCCTTAAAGTTTTGGCCAAACCAAATGTCTTACGTTCCTTTAGAACAAGGTACGCCTTTGCCTATTCTTCCCGGCCTCTGTGCTGCAGTCCCCTGTGCCTGCTATTCCTCTCTCCTTGCAATATCAAGTTAACTCCTTCAGCACAGGCAGGAGGTCTCTCCTCACCCTCAACTCTAGGCTAGGGGCAGCTTCTCTGAAACCCCGTTACACCTGATACGTCCATCATCATAGCACTGCCCGCTTATCTACTTCTGAATCTCTCTCTTGCAAAATGACTTGTGAGCCGCTCAAGGGCTGGGTCTGTTCTCTGAGGCCTTAGTGCACTGCTCAGCTCCTGGAGCTGTGAGTGCTTGTCCAATGAATACATGAATGAGCAACTGAATGAGTGGATTGGGCTAGTCTGTGTGTGTGTTCTGTTCACATGGTGAGAAGGTGTTTTTAAAAAATCAAAATTGCTGGGCACGGTGGCTCACGCCTGTAATCTCAGCACTTTGGGAGACTGAGCTGGGTGGATCACAAGGTCAGGAGATCAAGACCATCTTGGCTAACATGGTGAAACCCCGTCTCTACTAAAAATACAAAAAAGTTAGCTGAGCATTGTGGCAGGCACCTGTAGTCCCAGCCACTTGGGAGGCTGAGGCAGGAGAATGGCGTGAACCCAGGAGGCGGAGCTTGCAGTGAGTCGAGATTATGCCACTGCACTCCAGCCTGGGCGACAGAGCGAGACTCCATCTCAAAAAAACAAAACAAAACAAAACAAAATCAAAATTAATGCAAAAAAAATTATGATAAACAAAGTACCAAAATGTTAGATGAAGACAGTATCATAATAGTGCCAGGCAGAGTTATATTAGAGCCTGAGGCAAGAGGAAGAATCAGTAATACTCCTTTTGATTTAAAAAAAATTGCATTAAAATATTATTTATTGGCAACCAGGCACAGTGGCTCACACCTGTAATCCCAGCACTGTAGGAGGCCGAGGCGGGCAGATCACTTGAGGTCAGGAGTTCGAGACCAGCCTGGCCAACTAAAATTACAAAAATTAGCTGGCCGTGGTGGGCATGCCTCATCTCTACCAAAAAATACAAAAATTAGCCGGTGCGGTAGCATGTGCCTATAATCCCAGCTACTTGGGAGGCTAAGGTAGGAGGTTGGCTTGAGCCTGGGAGGTGGAGGTTGCAGTGAGCCGAGATTGCGCCGCTGCACTTCAGTCTGGGTGACACAGCCAAGCCCTATCTCAAAAATAAATAAACAAAATAAAATATTATTTGTCTTGATTGCTGAGGTTTGGTGTCTCCTTAAATTTGGCACCCAGTGAGTGCCTCACATGTTTCGCTGTAGTCCTGGCTCTGGCGGAAAGGCTTTCTCAACAGGCGTAGGCAGGCAGGGTGCAGGGCTTAGAATATCCTGGGTTGGGTCCTCTGGCTGGAGAGTTTCTGGAAAGCCCAAACCCAAGAAGAGGAAGGCATTTCGTGTTGGGCAAGGGGGCAGGGGTGGCAGGGAGGTATGGACCTGACTTCCCCAAAGACCCAGAGTAAGTAAGCACCATGCCCTGCCCAGCTGCTGTGCTGCCCCCAGCCACCACACAGGGCAATATGCCTCCATGCCCTGGAAACAGGACCCCCAAGGCAAGAAGGTATAGCCAGTAGAGCCTGAGAGAGAAACAAGGCCAGTCCTGGATGAACTGGGCATCTTGGGCTCAAAGGAAGGGCAGGGGTGCTGAGCCTGTGGAGCAGCAGTATTCAAATCTTCTGGTCTCAGGGTCCCTTTATTTCCTTAAAGATCGTTGAGAGTGCCAAAGAGCTTTTGTTTACATAAGCTATCTCCAGCAATATTTGTTATATTAAAAATGAAATCTTAGACATTCTAAAAATTTTCATTTTTAAACAAACATCCAATAATAAACTCCTTCCATGCTAACATAAATAACACATTTTTGTAAAAATAACTAGATTTTCTAAAACATAAACAATTTAGGGAGAGAAGTGGATTGATTTACATTTTTTACACATCTCTTTAATGTTGGGCTAAATAGAAGACAGTTGGATTCTCATATCTGCTTTTGCACTTAGGCTGCTGTGATATGTTGTTTGGGTTGAAGACAATTTGCCTTCACACAGATATGTACTTATAAAGGGAGGGATCTTTTCATGGCTTTTTCAAATCATTGGTGATACTCTTCTTCTTCTTCTTTTTTTTTTTTTTTTTGAGTTTTGTTCTCGTTGCCCAGGCTGCTGGAATGCAATGGCATGATATCGGCTCACTGCAACCTCTGCCTACTGGGTTCAAGCGATTCTCCTGCCTTAGCCTCCCGAATAGCTGGGATTATAGGGGCCTGGCTAATTTTTTGTATTTTTAGTAGAGGTGGGGTTTTACCATGTTGGCCAGGCTGGTCTCAAACTCCTGACCTCAGGTGATCCACCCGTCTTGGCCTCTCAAAGTGCTGGGATTACAGGCATGAGTCACCACGCCTGGCCGATACTCTTCTTTGATATGATATCAAAGCCCCGCATATAGTAGTTTCTTAAAGGTTCACTGTAATGTAGAACCTAAATCATATCAATGGACTTTTTCATTGTTTTACTTTTAGAGACAGGGTCTTGCTGTGTTGCCCAGGCTGGAGTGCAGTGGTGAAATCACGGCTCTCTGCAGCCTTGACCTTCCAGGCTCAATTGATCCTTCCACCTCAGCCTCCTGAGTAGCTGGGACTACAGGAGTGCACCACCACGCCTGGCTAATTTAAATTTTTTCCTTTGTAGAGAGGGGATTTTGCCATGTTGACCAGGCTGGTCTCAAACTCCTGGGCTCCAGCAATCTGCCTGCCTTGGCCTCCCAGAGTGTTGAGATTACAACCGTGAGCCACCGTGCGTGGCTGAAAGCTCAAATTTTATCATCGGCAACAAATCTCATCATTTGTTTCCCTTGAAGCAACAGGTTCCCTTCACTCATATTTAAGGAAATGTCTGCCAGATACCCAAGTCTGAAAAACCATAGTTTGTCAGTCAGTCTTTTTTTTTTTTTTCTTCTTCCCCGAGACGGAGTCTTGTTCATACAGGCTGGAGTGCAGTGGCACGATCTCGGCTCACTGCAACCTCTGCCTCCTGGGTTTAAGCAATTCTCCTGCCTCAGCCTCCCGAGTAGCTGGGATTAGAGGCGTACACCACCACGCTCAGCTAATTTTTTTTTTTGTATTTTTAGTAGAGATGGGATTTCACCATGTTGGCCAGGCTGGTCTCGAACTCCTTACCTCATGATCTGCCCCTCTCAACCTTCCAAAGTGCTGGGATTACAGGTGTCACTGCACCCGGCTTTTTTTTTTTTTGAGACGACGGGAGCTTTGCTCTGTTGCCCAGGCTGGAGTGCAGTGGCGCAATCTCGGTTCACTGCAACCTCTGCCTCCTGGGTTTAAGCAATTCTCCTGCCTCAGCCTCCGGAGTAGCTGGGATTACAGGCGCACACCACCATGCCCAGCTAATTTTTATTTTGTATTTTTAGTGGAGATGGGGTTTCACCATGTTGACCAGGCTGGTCTCGAACTCCTGACCTCAGGTGATCCACCTGCCTTGGCCTCCCAAAGTGCTGGGATTACAGGCATGAGCCACTGTGCCCTGCTGGTCATTTTTTTCTAATCATGATCCAGAAAAAAAGTTTAGCTCACAGCTCTAACAATCTCAGCGGTGCTTTTCCTAAAGACATTGTACTTTGGTTTGCAGCAGAAGGGTTTCATGTATATTTCCTGTTTTACACTCAGAATATTAAAAAATGTGTATTCAAGATTTAATAAAATAATTTCCTTGCTTTATCGAAGACATTTTAAAGGGAAGTTGACCGTTTTTCCCCACACTCAGTCTGAGCTGCGAAGGATACAATGATTCCTGGCACAGTTTGGTGTTGCTGCCTTGACTTGTGCTAAGGAGCCAGTGCTTTTGTTCAGCCTTGCTTTTGCACTATTGGTGCAAATGTCAATACAGTGGGAAAGGAAAATAATGTTTTGGTATTATTATGAAAATAGCTTTGACTTCGTAAACTCCCAACCCCCCAATTCCATAGGCCACCCTCTGAGAACTATTGTCCTGGGGCTTTGGAATCAGATGGCAGTACTACCTTTGGGATGGAAAGGGTCCCAGCAGAGTGGAACCTAGCAATGTTTTTGGTGGGGGGGATGGTATTTTCCAGTAAAAACCAGAAAACCTGCCAGACAAATTCTAAAAGAGATGCAACATAGCTGAGCGTGGTGGCTCACGCCTGTAGTCCCAGCTACTCAGGAGGCTGAGGCAGGAGGATCGCTTGAGCCTGGGAGGTTGACGTTGCAGTGAGCCAAGATGGTGCCACTGCTCTCCAGCCTGGATGACAGAGTCAGACCCTGTTTCAAAAAAAAAAAAAAAAAAAAAGAATAACAACGATTTATTGGGAATAATAAAATCTATGTTTATATTGTTTATATTTAAGGCAGATAAACTATCACCACACTCAATGGAGCAAAGCACAAAAATGTTCTCAATGAACAAAATTCCAATTAGAGTCAATTGCTTCTTTAAACATACCTGTAAGTATCTTTAGGCTTCTTCAAGTGTTTCCATTGGTGTGGCTCCTGAAGGGGTGGGTGAATTAACAAGGCAATCACCCATTCCTTCATCTTAGTGCTGGAAATACACAGTATTGAATAGATAGACAAGGTCCTAGCTCTCTTGGTGTTCACAGTCAAGTGAGGAAATGTTCAATAACCACACAAATATCAATATGATTACAACTGTGCTAAGATTTATGAAGTACAGGGAGTTTGCAGGGGTGGGGGGTGGAAGATGCTGACTTGGTTCCAAGTCCAGTGAAGACCTCCCTAAAGCAGTGAAATTCAGCTGAGGTCTGAAGCATGAGTTGCAGTTGGCCAGGTGAAAGTGGGGAGTGGAGCCAGGCGAGGTGGCTCATGCCTGTAATCCCAGTACTTTGGGAGACCGAGGCAGGCAGATCACAAGGTCAGGAGTTTGAGATCAGCCTGACCAACATGGTGAAACACCGTCTCTACTAAAAATACAAAAACTGGCCGGGTGTGATGGCACATGCCTGTAATCCCAGCTACTCAGGAGGCTGAGGCAGGAGAATCGCTTGAACCTGGGAGGCGAAGGTTGCAGTGAGCCGAGATCGTGCCACTGCGCTCCAGCCTGGATGACAGAGTAAGACTCTGTCCCCCCAAAAAAAAAAGGAAAGTGCGGAGTGGGGAGTGGGTAGGGAAGAGCATTCAACGTGGCAGGATGGGTATTATAGAGGCTCCCAGGCAGGAAATGTCTGGACAGGTTCGAAGGTCTGCCTGGGAAGTCCGTTCTGGCCAGAGCCTGATGCTAAGGTGGCATGAGGTGAGGGTGGAGTGGCAGCTGGAGGTCAGGGCAAGGGCCATCTGGTAAGCTTATTTCCGTTCCTGGAAACCACCAAGCTCTTGCCTCAGTTTTGGACCCATGCAGAGTTCTCTGCCTGGAATGTTCTGCCCTTGTTCCTCCTTCAGGCCTCAACTGAAACGTCACATCCTTTCTAAGTAGTTCTCTTTTTGTTCTCTATATCCGCACTGTCCCCCACCCTTTATTTTATTTTATTTTATTTTATTTTTGAGACAGAGTCTTGCTCTGTCACGCAGGCTGGAGTGCAATGGCACAATATAGGCTCACTGCAACCTCCGCCTCCCAAGTTCAAGCGATTCTCCTGTCTCAGCCTCCCGAGTAGCTGGGATTACAGGTTCCCGCCACCACGCCCGGCTAATTTTTTGTATTTTAGTAGACACAGGGTTTCACCGTGTTGCCCAGGCTGGTCTCAAACTCCTGAGCTCAGGCAATCCACCCACCTCGGCCTCCCAAAGTGCTAGGATTACAGGCGTGAGCCACCGCGGCCGGCCCAATCAGCACTCCTTTTTATTTGTATAACAACGGTGTTTGTTTAAATTGCTTTTGTCTGTCTACCCCAAGAGATGTAAGTTCTCTGAGGGCAGGGCCCCCTTGCTGGGTGTTCGCCCTATAGCTCCTGTGCTTAGCCGTGTGCCTTACATGCTCAGAAATATTTGTTGGACAGATGTGAGAAAGAACAGAGCTGGGTCTGAGATCCTGGCACCATTCCTTAATAGCTGTGTGACCTTGCACAAGTCATGTAACCACCGTGTAGTCAGTTTCCTAATCTGTAACATGGGATTTTACTTTCTATGGCAAAGTGCTTGTGTGAGACTCAAATGAGGCAGTACCCGTGGAAGCACCTAGCAGAGTACCCGGCTCCAAAGAAGGTGCTCCAAGTATTGTCCTCCTTGTGTCTCACTCCCTTTTTTTTTTTTCTGAGGCAAGGTCCCACTCCATCATCCAGGCTGGAATGTCAGTGGCACAATCTCTGCTCACTGCAACCTCTGCCTCCTGGGCTCAAGCGATCCTTCCACTTCAGCCTCCCAAGTAGCTACGACTACAGGCAAGTACCACCATGCCTGGCTAATTTTTTTTTTTTTTTTTTTGAGATGAAGTCTCACTCTGTCGCCCAGTCTGGAATGCAGTGGTGTGATCTCGGCTCACTGCAACCTCTGCCTCCTGGATTCAAGCGATTCTCGTGCCTCAGCCTCCTGAGTGACTGGGACTATAGGGACCCACCACCACGCCCAGCTGATTTTTGTGTTTTTAGTAGAGACGGGGTTTCACCATATTGGCCAGGCTGGTCTCGAACTCCTGACCTTGTGATCTGCCTGCCTCGGCCTCCCAAAATGCTGGGATTACAGGTGTGAGCCACTGCGCCCGGCCTGTATTTTTTTTTTTTTTTTTCTGTAGAGACAGAGTTTCACTATGTTGCCCAGCCTGGTCTCAAACTCCTGGGCTCAAGGATCCGTCTGCCTTGGCCCCCCAAAGTGTTGGGATTACAGGCGTGAGCCACCGCACCTGGCCTATTGTGCTCTTTTTACTATACTGTTAGATATGATGAGCTGGACCTTGCTTAGCCCCAGCTGAGTTCTTGCTTCCCATCCTCCTCCCTGCGTGCTGCTTTCCTGAGTCATGCCCACTGCAACGTAAACAGGGCAGTTCCTAGCAGCTTGCAATGACAGTAATAGTGGAAAGAACAAGAGGGAAGGGAGCAACTGTTTTGTTTTGTTTGACATGGTGTCTCACTATGTTGTCTAGGCTGGTCTCAAACTCTGATGGTCAAGTGATCCTTCTGCCTCAGTCCCTTGAGTAGCTGAGACTACAGGCGTGCACCACTATGTCTGGCTAATTGTATTGTGTTTTATTTTTCTAGAGATGGGGGTCTCACTGTGTTGCCCAGACTGGTCTTGAACTCCTGGGCTCACTCGATCCTCCCACCTCAGCCTCCCAAATGCTTGGATTACAGGCATGAGCCAGTGTGCATGTCCTTACATTGTATTTTCAGAATTTTAAGTTATTAAGACAATAAGTGCCCTTTAAAAATTCAAACAAACACATAAAAGTATAAAGCAAATAAACTTCCCACTAAGCTACCTCACCCTCCCAGAGGCTACTTACCACTGTCAACTGTTTGAGGTGTATCCTTCTAGATCTTCTGTTCAAATACACATGTATAATTGGGTCATACCAAACATTTTCTGCCACTTTTTTGTTTTGTTTTTGTTTTTATTTATTACTTATTTATTTTTTTGAGACAGAGTCTTGCTCTTGTTGCCCAGACTGGAGTGCAGTGGCACGATCTCAGCTCACTGCAACCTCCACCTCCTGGGTTCAAGCAATTCTCCTGCCTCAGCCTCCCAAGTAGCTGGGATTACAGGTGCACACCACCACGCCCAGCTAATTTTTGTATTTTAGTAGAGACAGGGTTTCATAATGTTGGCCAGGCTGGTCTCAAACTCCTGACCTCAGGAGATCCACCCGCCTCAGCCTCCCAAAGTGCTGGGATTACAGGTGTGAACCACCACAGACAGCCAGTTTTGTTTTGTTTTTAATTAACACTGTTATCCAAGGACATCTTTTCAAATCAACAGTCAGATCTAACACATCCTTTTAAATGATGGCTACTATTTTATTCTCTGGGTGACCCCAAGATTATATTTCTATATTTTCCAGACTGTTGATGAGCACATAATTTTTTTTTTTTTTTTTTTTTTTTTTTTTGAGACTGAGTCTAACTCTGTCATCCAAGCTGGAGTGCAGTGGCACAATCTCTGCTCACTGCAACCTCCACCTCCATGGTTCAAATGATTCTCCTGCCTCAGCCTCCCAAGTAGCTGAGACTACAAGGCTCACGCCACCATGCCCGGCTAATTTTTTGTATTTTTAGTAGAGACGGAGTTTCACCGTGTTAGCCAGGATGGTCTGGATCTCCTGACCTCGTGATCTGTCCGCCTCGGCCTCCCAAAGTGCTGGGATTATAGGCGTGAGCCACCACACCCGGCCTAAATTATTTTAAAATGTAGGGCGTTTTACCATGGAAGTTTTTATTTCAAATCTCATTGATAGAAAAATATTCAAATTTTGTCAGAAAAATAAAATTTTTATAGTATGAATTTATGTATATTTATCACTAGAAACAGATTATCTAAAATTTTAAGTCAAAATAAGCCAGAGAAGATAAAGTTATATTTCATTTTATTTTTTACTTTTTTATTTTAATTTTTTTGAGACAGAGTCTCGCTCGGTCGCCCAGGCTGGAATGCAGTGGCAGAATCTCAGCTCACTGCAACCTCCCGCTCCTGGGTTCAGGCGATTCTTCTGCCTCAGCCTCCTGAGTAGCTGGGACTACAGGCTTGCACCACCACACCCAGCTAATTTTTGTATTTTTAGTAGAGACAGGGTTTTACCATGTTAGTCAGGCTGGTCTCGAACTCCTGAGCTCAAGCAATCTGCCAGCCTTGGCCTCCAAAGTGCTGGGATTACAGGTGAGAGGCACCACGTCTGACCATGCAGTGTTTTTTTCCTACATAAAATAATGGTGTGTTTTTACAATGAGTAGCACCTGATAGTCAATACAATCAATGGCAGTTCTGTTTCTCTTCTTTTATTCCATTTTAAAATATAACTGGCTGGGCGCGGTGGCTCATGCCTATAATCCAAGTACTTCGGGAGGCCAAGGTGGGCAGATCGCCTGAGGTCAGGAGTTCGAGACCAGCCTGAGCATCATGGTGAAACCCCTGTCTGTACTAAAACACAAAAATCAGCTGGGTGTGGTGTTGTATGCCTGTTGTCCCAGCTACTCAGGAGGCTGAGGCAAGAGAATTGCTTAAACTTGGGAGGCGGAGGTGGTAGTGAGCCAAGATCATGCTACTGTACTCCAGCCTGAGTGACAAAGTGAAACTCTGTCTCCAAAAAAAGAAAGAAAGAGAGAAAAACAAAAACAAAAATAAAAAACACTGTCAATTAATTGAAAGATGCCATCAATTTTAGAATTTTAAAAATGTGTAAAATGGGAGTGTCTCAGTCCATTAGTGTTGACACTAATTTATAAAGCACAAGAAATTTATCTCTGGGCAGGCGTGGTGGCTCACACCTGTAATCCCAGCACTTTGGGAGGCTGAGGCGGGAGAAGTGTTTGAGGCCAGGAGTTCCAGACCAGCATGGGCAACATAGCAAAACCCCTTCCCTACAAAAAATACAAAAATTAGCTAGGTGTGGTGTCACACACATACCTGTAGTCCCGGCTACTCAGGAGGCTGAGGTGGGAAGATTGCTTGAGCCCAGGAGGTTGAGGCTGCAATGAGCTGATTGCACCACTGCACTCTAGTCTAAGTGACAGAGCAAGACCTTGTCTATAAAAAGCAAAAAACAAAGAAAAGAGGAGAAAAAAGGAAAATAAGTGTATTTCTCACAGTTCTAGAGGATGTTCACGATCAAGGCACCAGCAGGTTTAGTGTCTGATGCCTGGTTATCTGCTTCCAAGATAGCACCTTGAAAGCTGTTATCTCACATGGCAAAAGGGATGGAAAGACAAAAAGGGCAAGATTAAGTGCTTTCTTCAAACTTGAGCCCCTTTTTACAGAATTATTATTTTTGTGTGTGTGAGACAGGGTCTCACTTTGTCACCCAGGCAGGAGTGCAGTGGCACAATCACTGGCTCACTTCAACCTTGACCTCCCTGGGCAACCTGGAGCCCTTTTCTAAATGTGCTAATCCCATTTCACCCTGAGTTAATCACCTTCCATAGGCCACACCTCTGCACTGGGGATTAAGATTCAACATGAGGCCGGGCACGGTGGCTCACCCCTGTAATCTCAGCACTTTGGGAGGCCGAGGCGGGCAGATCACCTGAGGTTGGGAGTTCAAGACCAGCCTGACCAACATGGAGAAACCCTATCTCTACTAAAAATGCAAAACTAGCTGGGCATGGTGGTACATACCTCTAATCCCAGCTACTTGGGAGGCTGAGGCAGGAGGATCGCTTGACCCCAGGAGGCAGAAGTTGCAGTGAACCGAGATCACGCCACTGCACTCCAGCCTGGGCAACAAAAGCGAAGCTCCATCTAAAAAAAAAAAAAAAAGATTCAACATGAACTTCAGAGGGAACATCATCACTCTAACCATGGCAAGGAGTCTTGGAATTGATAAAATAGAACAGTCCCTTCTTGTCCCTTTATTAACCAGAATTTTTGTGTGATCTTCCAGGAACCACCAGGACCAGCTGATCATTCTAGCCCACAGCAATGGAGCCACAAGACTCCTCCCACGTGGACTCTGAGTTCCGATACACCCTCTTCCCGATCGTTTACAGCATCATCTTTGTGCTTGGGGTCATTGCTAATGGCTACGTGCTGTGGGTCTTTGCCCGCCTGTACCCTTCCAAGAAATTCAATGAGATAAAGATCTTCATGGTGAACCTTACCATGGCGGACATGCTCTTCTTGATCACCCTGCCACTGTGGATTGTGTACTACCAAAACGGGGGCAACTGGATACTCCCCAAATTCCTGTGCAACCTGGCTGGCTGCCTCTACTTCGTCAACACCTACTGCTCTGTGGCCTTCCTGGGTGTCATCACTTATAACCGCTTCCAGGCAGTAACTCGCCCCATCAAGACTGCTCAAGCCAACACCCGCAAGCGTGGCATCTCTTTGTCTCTGGTCATCTGGGTGGCCATTGTGGGCGCTGCATCCTACTTCCTCATCCTGGACTCCACCAACACAGTGCCCAACAGTGCTGGCTCAGGAAACATCACCCGCTGCTTTGAGCATTACGAGAAGGGCAGCGTGCCAGTCCTCATCATCCACATCTTCATTGTGTTCAGTTTCTTCCTGGTCTTCCTCATCATCCTCTTCTGCAACCTGGTCATCATCCGTACCTTGCTCATGCAGCCGGTGCAGCAGCAGCGCAACGCTGAAGTCAAGCGCCGGGCGTTGTGGATGGTGTGCACGGTCTTGGCGGTGTTCATCATCTGCTTCGTGCCACACCACATGGTGCAGCTGCCCTGGACCCTTGCTGAGCTGGGCTTCCAGAACAGCAAATTCCACCAGGCTATTAACGATGCACATCAGGTCACCCTCTGCCTCCTTAGCACCAACTGTGTCTTAGACCCTGTTATCTACTGTTTCCTCACCAAGAAGTTCCGCAAGCACCTCACCGAAAAGTTCTACAGCATGCGCAGTAGCCGGAAATGCTCCCGGGCCACCACGGATACGGTCACTGAAGTGGTTGTGCCATTCAACCAGATCCCTGCCAATTCTCTCAAAAATTAGTCCCTGCTTGTTGGTGCCAGGCCTGAAGTCTTCTCCTCCATGGACATCATGGACTGAGCTGGGGGAAGAAGGGATATCTGCTGTGGTCTGGGCACCACCTCCGTGGGCACTGGTGGGCCATTAGATTTGGAGGCTACCTCACCTGGGCAGGGATGATGGCAGAGCCAGACTGTTGGAAAATCCAAAACTCAAATGAGTCCCTTCATCTGCCTGTGGGTGCATACTACAGCAACTGTGACTGATGACCTCATCCTGAGTCCCTTAATCTTATAGGGCTGGAAGGAATATCAGGGCCAGGTGCAGACCTTGGGGGAAGACTTTAAACCACCTAGTTCTTCCCGATGGGGTGTCGGTCTAAAGCTTTGGGGGGCCAGGCGCAGTGGCTCTCACCTGTAATCCCAGCACTTTGGGAGGCCGAGGTGGGCAGATCATGAGGTCGAGAGATCGAGACCATCCTGGCCAGCATTGTAAAACCCCGTCTCTACTAAAAAATACAAAAATTAGCTGGGCTTGGTGGCTCAGGAGGCTGAGGCAGGAGAATCGCTTGAACCTGGGAGGCAGAGGTTGCAGTGAGCCTAGATTTCACCATTGCACTCTAGCCTGGCAACAGAGAGAGATTCCGTCTCAAAAAAATAAAATAAAATAAATAAATAAATAAATAAATACAAGCTTTGGACAAATACTCTCAAGTGATACAGGCAGAAAGGGTTGGGAAAGGGACTTTGCCCTCACAGTGTGGCACTACCTTGGGGCAGACTTTTGAGCTAGGACAGTGCCATCCTCTCTCCACCCTCAGGCAAAAGGTCTTTGTGACCTTTCTCGGGGGAAGTGGCTTGATGGAACCTTCTCTGACTCCTCTGGCAACCTGTCCCTAATGGTGACTAAAGAAGATAAAACATGAACAGACCAAAAGCTAGGACAAGAGCTTGCTTCCCAAGACAGATGTGTCTGTCTGCAAAGGCCTTGCCTCTAGCCTGGTCAGCTCTGGGGGAGCGGGAGAGAGATGCCCACCTCCTCCATCTTTCTGTCTCAACAACAGTCTCTAATTAAGTACCTTCTGTGGGGCAGCCACCCACTGAGGATGGGCAAAGGCCCCTTGAAAGCAAAATTGGGGCTGGGCGCAGTGGCTCATGCTGGTAATCCCAGCACTTTGGGAGGCCAAGGCAAGCAGATCACCTGAGGTACGGAGTTCAAGACCAGCCTGGCCAACATGGTGAAACCCCCTCTCCACTAAGAATACAAAAAAATTAGCCCGGCGTGGTGGTGCATGCCTGTAGTCCCATAGCCTGTAGCTACTAGGAGGAGGCAGAGGTTGCAGCGAGCCGAGATTGTGCCACCGCTCTCCAGCCTGAGTGACAGAGTGAGACTCTGTCTCAAAAAAAAAATGAAATTATGACGCCTGAAGCAAAATTGAGAGGCTTGGCAGCAGTGGCATGCAGCAGCCACTTTAGGAAGTAAGACAGCGTCACTGAACTTGGACCGAGGCCATTTAGCCAACACATCTGGCATTCCTACAGTTAACATCTGAGCGTGCTGCATGCAGTCCACTAGCAGCCCCTTGCTAGGAGGAAGCAGGGAGTTGCATGAGCAGGAATTCCGTCTGCAGCTCTCCAGCCTGGGCCTTGAGTGAACTCTGTCTCGCAAGAGTGGAGCTGTACAGGCCAGAGACCACCTCAGTGTCCCAGGGCTTCCACTCCTGAACAAGTATGGGCTGGGAAGTGCACTTGAGGCCCCACAGGTGGGTCTGTCAGTTCTCCCTCCTTGGGCTCCTCCTAACAGCTGGGAGGTGGGAGGAGCAGTGCTGTCAGCAGGTGTCAGCAAAAAAAAAAAAAAAAAAAAAAAAAAAAGCCAAAATTGGAGCTGTGCAGGCCAGGACACCTCGATGTCCAGGGGCTTCCATATGAACAGGCGCATGGGCTGGGAAGTGCATGAGGCCCCTGGGTAGAAGGGTCTGTCAGTTCTCCCCTCCCTTGCCCTCTGGGAGGCTCCTCCTAACATAGCTTCCAGGAGGTGGGAGGAGCAGTTACTGTCAGCAGGTGTCAGCCAGGTGTCAGCTTCTCTTGAGGATCTCTAGATATCTGCTTGTGATTTATGCAAATGAGCCTCCTCTCCTGCCCTGAGACAAGTATCCGCAGTGTGAACCTGGCAGCCTCAGACCCAAGGGGCTCAGAGGAAACTTCCCTGGTTTCTAGAGCTCTGTGCTCCTGTAGAGAAGTCTTCCTTCCTTACAGTCAGTGTCCCTGTGAAGCTGGGACACTCATTTCCTGTGTACCGGGCAATCATCGGATTGCTGATTTTGAGAAATGCCTCCCGATGGACCAGGAACCTGCTGGAGTCTGGGATGGTAGCTGTGGGCTGGACTTGGCTGGTGGTATGACCGGGCGACTAGTGCAGCATCGCACAGGCCTGGGTCAAGTCTTGGCTGTGTCATTTCCTGCTGAGGGACCAGGCACTGAATTTCCTACCTCTTAGGGTCATTACCTATGAGGTTAAAGCTACCTCATGGGATTGTTGTACGTGGCTAATGTTGGGGCAGACCCCTCTTGGTCAGGGTGACTGCTCATCTTAGACCCTCCCCTTTTCTGCGAATTTGGGCCCCTTGATCCTCTGATGGGAGCTGAAAGGATGAGAGGTGGGCATCTAGATTCAGGGAGGCTGTTCAGGCTTTGCAGGTCCCTTCCCTGAACACATATAAACCCTGGAGCTGTGACTGTGTCCGTGCGTGTGTGTGTGTGTGTGTTTGTGTGTATCAGGGGGATGGGCACCTGCATGAATATGGTAGAGAAAATGGCTCTGCTCAGAGAGAAGATACGCATAGCAAGGCAGGGACCAGAGGAATCACAGGTGCCCGGAGAGCAGCCGGGCACCGCCTCCAGGGACCTGCTGGCTTCCCTCAGTCCTCCAGGGGCCCAGCACTCTTTCCTGTGGGCCCTGTGAGCGTCCCTCGTCAGGATACATTCTCTCATTTTGCCGAAGCTGATTTGATTGGGTGTCTAGTTCTCGCAGTCAAAAGAGCTCTGAATGAGGGAAGTGCTTCTGTGTTAACTCCTCGTGTCTCCTGAATTTCAGTCATTCGTGTACCCGCCTTGAAATTTTTGCAATATCCATGTACCAACTGTCTGTTTACTTAATAAATACTTTTTCTTTAAATTAAGTCACTTTTAAAAACTTACATTTATTTGAAAGAAAACATTATAACATAATTGTAAATGAAAACTAACACTACCTGCCACAAATAGAAGGTAGACATAAACATAAAACCGTAACTATAAAAATGTTTCTCACCCGGGTGCGGTGACTCACACCCGTAATCCCAACATTTTGGGAGGCTGAGGAGGGTGGATTGCTTCAGCCCAGGAGTTCGAGACCAGCCTGAGAAACATGGCAAAATGCCTCTACAAAAAATCTGTGGTTGTGGTGGCTCACGCCTGTAATCCCAGCACTTTAGGAGGCCAAGGAGGGCAGATTACCTGAGGTCATGTGTTCAAGACCAGTCTGGTCAACATAGCGAAACCCTGTCTCTACTAAAAATACAAAATTAGCTGGTCGTGATGGTGGGTGCCTGTAATCCCAGCTACTTGGGAGGCTGAGGCAGGAGAATTGCATGAACCTGGGAGTCGGAGGTTGCAGTGAGCCGAGATTGCACCACTGCACTCCAGGCTGGGTGACAAAGCGAGACGCTGCCTTAAAAAAAAAAAAAAATAAAATAAAAAAATAAAAAAAAATTAGCCAGGCATGGTGGTGTGTGTCTGTAGTTCCAGCTACTTGGGAGGCTGAAGTGCGAGGATTGCTTGAGCCAGGAGGTTGAGGTTGCCGTGAGTTGTGATCATCATGCCACACTGACCTGGGTGATAGAACAAGACCCTGTCTCAAAAAAAAAAAAAGTTTTTCTGTGTTCTATCTAAAGTCACTTGACATGTCTCAGTGACTTGTGTAGCACACTTCAGGAAACTCTACTGTGATGGGTATAAAGTGCACAGGGTCTCAATAAAGAATAACTCTGGGCCATGCCTGTAATCCCAGCACTTTGAGAGGCCGAGGCAGGAGGATCACTTGGGCTCAGGAGTTTGAGACCAGCCTGGGCAATGTAGCGAGACTCTATCTCTAATTGGAAAAAAAACAAGACTAACTGACAGTTCTGAGACAGTGACTTGTGATTACCTCCTTACTTCTTCCAGGATGTTGCTCCAACACATAGACCATGCTCTCATGGGGATCAGGGGGGTGGGAGGAGTATATTAGGTTGTAGCACATGCTCCAGCCTTGTTGATCTCCTCACCACCTGAATACAGCCAGCATTACTCCTCCTGTATTTTCTGTCTCTTCTCTTGTTTTCTAAACTTTTTTTTCTGGAGGTGGGGTCTTGCTATATTGCCCAGGCTGGCATGCAATGGCTATTTACTGGCACGCCTATTGCACACTACAGGGTCAAACTTCTGGCTTTAAGGGATCCTCCTACATCAGCCTCCCCAGTAGCTGGGACTACAGGAGTGGGTCACTGTACCCAGCCCTTCTCTTTATTTTAAATTTTGTTTTGTCTTATTATTATTTGTTTTGAGATGGAGTCTCGCTCTGTTGCACAGGCTGGAGTGCAGTGGCACGATCTCGGCTCACTGCAAGCTCTGCCTCCTGAGTTCACGCCATTCTCCTGCCTCAGCCTCCAGAGTAGCTGGGCTTACAGGCACCTGCCACCATGCCTGGCTAATTTTTTTGTATTTTTAGTAGAGACGGGGTTTCACGGCCTGGCCAATTTTTTTTTTTTTTTTTTTGGTCAGTGTTGACCAGGTTGGCCTCAAACGTGTAGCCTCGCCTCCCCAAGGGTCAGGACAACCGGCCTGAGCCACTGCGGCTCCCCTCTTCTTTTTGACATATCCCAGAATACTCCAATAGGTAGCCTTCTGAATCCAGGCAGCGTTACTGTGACCATTGATGTTAAGTCATTTCGATGCCTGTCTTTCCTATTCTGGGGGGCAGGAACTGGATCTTAATAATCTGTCTCCAGTTTCTCACATATAGCTTGGAATTGAGATCTGTCTGTCTCCAAATTGTACAGCTTCCCCAGGGTTTAGCATAAACAGACATGTTGACATATACATGCAAATATTTTGAAAGGTTTTGAGGAGACCCTATAGAGACAGATGGAAAAGAAATGTAATACATGTTCTTCCAAAGTTCTAGGTCCATATTCTAAAGGAAGATGTAGGGAGTTTTCAGAGAATCAGTACATTTTGGAACTGGGAGGGTTCAACCCCTTCGTCTTACTAAGGACATCATGGGGCTCAGAGGGGCTAACTGATTGCTGAAGTTACACAGGGTGGAGCTGCGGCGGGTGCACGGCTGGCTGTTCACCTGCATCTCTCCGCTCTTGCAACGGTGACAGGGATTATGGGAGAAGTTGAGTTGCAACTCTTTTGATGAAACATCACTGATTAGAATTTCCAAGGCATCCTGTGTATCAGGAAAGCCTCACCTTGCATTTGCCCTGATCTCAGCTTTCGCCTCAGGGAACCACCAGTGATCTCAGCTGGAGAATGCTGGCTTATGTAAGATCTGGCCTCATTGAGATGAGTCAGAGACCCGAGAGTGGTAAGTGGAGGTCACAGTTGACTAGACCTGGATATGTTTATCCTGTT